GCCCGGGTAGCCTAATTTCGACAAGATACGAGTAAATATTACGGATGAATTAATGTCATCACTTCGTTTTACAACATATCCGCTTAATCCATTTTAATCCAACAACTTTTTTTTTGCAATCTGATTGGCTGGTGTGCAGGTGACTTGCAAAATTTACAATACGGTTGGTTGATATTTGTGTGTAACCATATCGGAATCGATTTCCATATTTGGGACGGTCTCACCTGTACCAGGAAGTATAGTAGAAGGCCCGGTAGGTTAATTTCGAGACGGGAAGTAGCAGCTTCCAAGTGTTTGATAAGGACTGAATTTCAGCTATAATACAATTAATAGAATTAATGAATAGACTAGTCGCGCAGAAATACTACAGTGGGGGGGACAGCAAATCGCATATATTTTTTATTAATAAACTTTTTAAATCGATACGTATAATTTCTTTAAAAATAAATAAATTTATTTATTTATAAATTTAATATATTTTTCGTTCGGTATATTACACCAGTGGTGTTCAAAAACTGCAAATAACCAAGACTGGATGTATTAAATAAAACGTCCAGCATCCAAAAAAAACCTTATTTTTAGTTCTAATCTAATTTTAGTCTAAAACATCTAATTTTACCCTAATGTAGGACTCCTGACAAACCCGAACCGGACCGAACTTTAAGTAAGTTTGGCATCAGGTTTGAATTCAGACCAAACTCGAACCCAAACTATTTTTATAACCGAGTTTGGTTCGTGTCTGAATATCAAAACTTCAAGCTTGGTTCGGGTTGTTTGAAAGTTTGGACAAAACTAGCCGAATGACTTTTCGGCCAATTCAGTTAAGTTATCGATTTCGGCGCAGCAGATAGGTGGTTAATATAAATATTATAAGAACATCTCCGGTTGAATACATTTTCAAAGAACTTCGCGGCAAATAATTTAGAAAGTTTATCGATTTGAAAAATTACCAAACTTTTAGGTGTTAGCAGTTCTTTATAAGTCAGGTTCTCAAGCACTTTCAAAGATATGGATGTATTGAAAAATGTTTATTATAACGTCTAATTTATATCTGGTGGCTTCTTTATATTTCTTGTTAAGACTTATTGACTTATTGGTTGACAAGAACGGTCTTTTCCATAAATTTCCATATAAACTAAACACGTCAAACATGTTGGGCAAATATTCAAACAAAAAATTTAATAATGTTGAATGTGTCAACATTGCAATGATAAAATTATAGGATTACATGTACATAACATAAAAAATAAATATTTTTTGTATACCTATCATACCAAAATCAATGACTTAGGGTCTCTCAAGCATCTCACTCAATGGATCGCTCAATGGATCGGAGGCAAATTTTTAATAGTCGTAAATTGACTAACCAAGTGAGTTGCCATTGCGATGAACAGATCAGCGAGCTACAAACCATCTTTTTTCTTCAAAAATTTACTATTGATGAAGGCTTTAGCATTACTTTTAATTTTTTACATATCAAACATAATAAACAATGAATTCTCAACAAATTTCTAACCGATATAAAAAAATATCCACCTTATTTTTAATTCTCGAAGCTTTTAAAATAAATAATCGATACCTTGGTTTGAACATAAAATAAATATACCATCTTTTAACATTTAATCAAACATAATAAATTTTGCTATCCTATTTTTCGTTTAATAAAATTTAAATATTAATATTCGCAAGAAAAAAAAATTTATTTCTTTTTTTTTGTAAGCAACTTTCGCTAATAATTGATTCTGTTGCAACAAAAGATTAAAATCGTATTACCATAAAAGAATTGTATTCCTCTTCTGGTAAAATTGTAACTATCTTCATTTCATTACTGAGAATTTGATTTGCGGGTGGATTGCACCATGAAAGTTCCGTGGATTTAAAATTTTTTAAACTCTTCCGTAATAATTCAGCATATCTTGCTTTGCTGTTTTTAAGGTTCCCTTTCAATATTCTCAAATTAAATTCAATTTTCTCATCATCTGGTTCTTTAGCAACTTCAAAATCCCGAAGACTGCACACTCCTTCCAAAGCAATCGTCGAACTAGTGCAGAAGAAAGACTTAGGTTAGGTATAACTATTATAAATGGGTCTATACTAAAATAGTGCGCGTACACATCGGATTTATTATGCAAAAAAATTATCAACGACGTATGGCCAACACATAAGTTAGGTGATAAATTGCACAATACTGTACATGTATTTGTCTCAAACTAGAAGCAAAGAAACGTCGCCATATGTCTGTGGATTAATACGTTTAATAATCAACCAAGGGCTTATATGGTTTTGAGTATAACTTTGCTTAGTTATTATGATCCTATTCTGCACTATTCATTATATGATATATATAAAGTTCTTTTTAACCAATTTTAATCACTAACCTTTGAAAGTAAATTCTGAAGTTTTTCATATTTTTTTGAACCAGGTAAACATGAAGTTATAACAATTAAAATTGCTTTATGAAGTATTTGTTTTAAATTTTCCTTTTCAATCCAATGCTCTTCGTTCATTGCATGATAGACTACTGAGAATGTAGTTATATGCTCTGGTAATACGAGTTGAAGAAAACTACAAATGAAATTATATAATGAAGACATGATTGCGTGATTATAGAAATAATAATTTGTTAAGATGTAGAGATAAACACGAGAATAAAATCATTATGAAGCGACAGAATATCTACGTATGAAATTATTATACTTTTAAAGTGTTGCTCTTTTTTTTTTGGCATCTCGAATAGCATAGGCATGCATATATTTTAACTGATAAAGAAAAAAATCAAAGCGGCAATGCATTACGTACGTACGTACGTACGTAGAAAAATTTTTACAAAGAAAATGTATATTTTGGATCAGGCGTACCGAAAATTTAATTGTTGAGGCAATTGATTGCAATTATTTGATCTCA